AAAGCACAGTTCGCGACCGCAAATTGCGGGAAACGGAACTCAAATAGGCACAAAAAAGTGCTAAGTATCTGATTAGCGGAGAAAAGCAGCAGAAAAAGCAGTCCGAAATGTTATAGAGAAAGATAACATAGTGGCTACTAGCTAGTAGCTAGCAGCCGGTGAGGGTCGGCATGGGCCTAAGGGGTGTCCATGGGCCTAATTAGCCAGCTTCTAGCGGAGTTCTTGCCGTTTTTCACATTTTGAAAGTAGCGCAGCCTCAAAAATCGCCTTCCGGGATCGTCCGACACATTTGAGAGGTCATAGCCTTATTTTTTCGCGGAATGTGCCTTTAAGTGTTCCGCTCTCTCTTAAAGACCCGCTCCCAATGGCCCGGGAGCGTTCGGACCACTGACATCTTCCTTTTTGCAACAAGTGCGAGTAAAATGCTGTTGATGCCGATCCCGGCGAGGGACAAACGTCTAGTGTTCTCCGTTGAGCAGTACCTCGAGTGATCAGAAGAGATAGAATCGCATGGCTGTAGGTCGGGCAAATAAGGCGATTGAGCCCAGGTCTCAGTATTGTTTGTGTCCGAGTACTGCGCGAATCAGGATGTTCGACCATGTAGTCATTTGTGACTAACGTTCTGAGCAAAGTAAAAGTGAATGATGAAGCTTTCGGCGTTAATAGATTGTTTTATGGGATGCGGCGTGCGTTTTGCTTCCATTCAGAATCGTAGTGGCTTATTATGCCACTAAGCCTACCTATTGACTTGCGGGGCTTAAATTGAAGCCAAATATTACTTCTTATATCCTTTTTCCTCTTCATTTTATTTGGAATAAAACCTTCCACGTTTTTCAATGGGATACCTTATGGAAAGTCAATACTATACTATTACAGTGTTACTAGCTCCAACTTACCCTATTGATCGCGCTTAGCGATGCCAAGATATCCAGAAACACACGGCATTCTTGAGGGTCCACCTTGTCTTCACTAGACATCGCACTGCTGACATCATCACTGTGACGAAGCGATTGAAATGTCGTAACGGAAGCTTTACCCACCACTTCTCTGGAAAACTCTACCTGCTCTTACAACGGAAAATATGTAGTGACATGCAAGGGTATGAAAAAACCAATCTCCTCACCTAAAGAATTCCGGAATGCTGGTCGGAGCTTCGATATGGATTCAGCAAACGGTAAATGTAGCCGGGTTACCGTATCTTTGGACACATTCATTACAAATCCATGGAACCATACCAGTATCAAATATACCCGAAGAGCTTCTACGGAAGCCGTCCCTGACGGATTGAAGTCATCCGCAAAGACGGACATGCTCAATGTATCAAGTGATCTGAATACTTCAAGATCACTTTGACTAGTATAGAACAGTTGTTGAGAGAACCTACCAATTCAGCATACTGACGGGCATCCGATGAATCTCCAAGAGCACCAAACGCCTCCATGACGTCGTCCAAGTTCACTCCATGAACATGTCCTTCATGCAGAAAACGTCGATCATCGTCAAACAAAAACGAACCATTTATACAATTTACCGACGACAAAACTGATTCAAGCAGTCTGAAATCAGGAAAGATTCATTATTCCAGTTTGTTCTACGGAACTTGTGTCAATGTTACAACTTTTACAACTTGTGGCAGTGTTAAATTTGGCCTGAGAAAAATTTTCAATCACGACATTTAATGGGATGAAGTGGCACTTCCCGATAGCTACATTACCTGCTCAACGGCAAACTGTATACTCGCGAGGTGAAGGGTGGGGCCATACTGCAGCAGCCTGCCACTTTCTCCGCATAAAGCAGAGCTGGAGAGTAGTGATACCAGGGTGCACCCTGGGACCAGGCTCTGGCTGCCGGTCAGCCACACGCTAAGTCTAGCCAAACACGCTACTTGCCCGCGTCCTCTCACGTCTCATTGTTCTCCACTTCTGGTAATGTGATCTACCAGAAGTGGATTCGCTGCGGGATTTTGGTACCGAAGCAAATGCTGAGCGAAGCGCAGGCAGAGGACGAAAAACAAGAAGGCGTTCACCTTTCAGCCTGATTTTCGAAAGTTTTCAAAAGACGAAATCGTTATGCCAGAGCAGCAGCCAACCCGTTCTTGCCGAATAGGGCGAGGACCGACCTTGGAGATGAATGTGCAGTTTATCGTCAAGAAGACTGCTCGGAGTTACTTGTTGGGAGGGATAAGGAAACGATTTCATCGACGTGGTCCTGCCCTCCCCACCTTCTTCATCCCTAGAGGAAGACAGAAAGACAAGGCGCGCACGTTAACGTTATTTCCTGGCTACGCCCATCCAACAATCGCGGACGGTGTCTAGATCTCGCCATTAGTATTTGGCCTCTATGGGTTAACGTTGCAAGCAAAATTAGCCTCTTCTGCCAGTAGAAAAACCCACGACCCTTTACAATTACGTATCTAAAAATAGTATGCAACGAGAAGAAAACCAACCAACCCTATCAAATCGAGTTTTTCATGTCGAGCAAGTAGATCCAGCACCTTTTCTTTGCTAAGAAAAACTGGAGTTTTGAGCGGGCAATTAGGTCCAGCAGTCATTATCTGGAATACAGCAATAACAACGATAACAAGTAAAAAAGCCGAAAAGAAAAAAGGAGTAGGGGAAAGTGCTTAGATAACCAAAGTTTCTCTTCGCAGGAGGTCAAAGCAGAACATCTTGAGGCAAATATGGGAGCCTAGCTCACAATCTGCAAGAAACATCCGATCTGCCAAGGGCACAGATCGGACCCGTAAGCTATCTAGCGGTGAAAAAGTACCGCAAGTTTTTTGCACCATGTTCACGGCTATACATGCCAGAAGAGTCTACATAAGAGGAAGTTTGCGTAGACCAACTTACAGGCGTGTCAACGGAACGTAAAATGAAAGTCTGGTCAAATCCAGCGAACACAGCTTCAACATGATCAAGTTCATCCGTTTGTCGAGGAAGCGCTTGATTCATCGCCGAACCGTTACCCAACTGGCCGTTTGCATTCTGACCAAAGGGATACAACCGTCCTCCGATTACTACCACGGAATGGTTTCTATAAATAGATTACTCAAAAATTGAGCCTTGTAAGAAAGTGCGCGATATAGAGGTGCATGTGAGGTGAAGTGGATGAAAGAGTGAGTTTGCTGGAATATGCTAACCACCACAAGTTTCACACTTGGAAAGCTTAGAAATAGGCCATACGTATGACTATATGAACCACATGGGGTGAAAAAAATACTCAAATAAGCACATGAAAAAATGTTTCTTTGGCGATTACGCCAACTTACACAGATTAGGTTGTCGGAGTGTGGGTGACCCGATATTAGATTTTGTTCCCATTTTCCAACTACATGTGCCTTTATTCAACCTTTACAGGGTCGGCGCCGGGGGAGGGGGCATTTCGCATTATCGCTACTTATCATCGACTTGTCAACCCTAGACAGACACTCTAGACAGCCTCTTCTTGAGTTGACAGGCTTTAAGTGATGGCATGACGAGCTTGCTCCAGCTTCACAAGAGTTCACAGGTTTCACCAGAGTGAGACTTGTAAACCGGAACTAGTGAAGCAATGAAAGTGCAAAATGCCCCCCCCCCGTCGCCGAACTGCGCCCCTTTACAGAACTATCCAAAGATTAACTCAGCAAATAGCAGATGAATGAGCCGATAAATGTTGATTGACAGCCTTCGAGGCTAATCAATTACGTGGGATGCCCACGCACTCTGGTCCCGTCCAGGATCGCAGTCATTGTTGAATATGCTTTCGTCGATACAAGAACCTGCGAAGACCAGCTGCTGCACTAGCATCGTTCCAAACTCCAGAAAGGCGCGGGCGCTACTCCCTCCTCCCCTGCACTACCTCTATAACCGACAAATCCCTTCCCACAGAATGTGTTCCATGTTCAGGCAATGTCCCGCCTAAATGCGCCGGTGCAGAAAGAAGAACAAAATTGCACCTGGCACAGGAAGTTACAGAATTTTTCTAAAATCAAAACTCACCGTCCACATGCCACTCGTGTCACTGTACTTCCCATTAATTCTGTTACTGCCGATGGATTAGTATGCTTGTCAAATCTGTAAATGAACTTTAGAGTAGAATGGAAATACAAAAAAACTGCGGTTCAATGTCAATGTGTAAGGAATTCAAATTCATGATTGGCTGAATTTTCCCGTTAAGTAGTCTGGAATGGTGCGAAAGAATACTGGATGTGTCTGTGAAGAGAAAAAATTCCCATCCTCTCTCCACACATTAGGTCTTTTTATGTCAGGTACATTTTTTGATCTTATATGTGAAATAAGAGATATATCGAATCCGCCTGATTCTTCCCCTTGAATCTACGAGTTTGTAAATCTTAGCATACCATTCTATTCCGCTGCTCAGCTATTCTAATGAGGCAGCCGAGTGGCCGAATTGGCGATACTGAATGAAACTAATCTCTCACTTCCATTCCTCCGGGAGGGGATCCTGGGGCCCGCTTGAGCCATCTGAGACCAAAGGGGCGCAACGCAATCGGCGTGCCGTTACACCTAGTGAGACCGGTAACAGCGACTGCTGAGAATGCCACAATGGGCCCAATGATATGCATCGGCTCATTCGGCTTCCAAGTAAAAACGGAGCCGCCAACGATTGCTAAAATTCGTGATGTAATGTTACATTATGAGCAAAAAGGCCGTCGAAAAACAAAATCAGTAAAATAAATAATTGCTGACTTTTAATGCCGCTGCACACCTACCTTTCAGTCTAACTGTGCACCCATAGACCGTTAAGCGATCCAGATGCAGAAGTGTGATCTGCAGGAGCGCGAAAGCACTTGTTCGCCTTACGCGTCGAAGTGCTGGAGACAGAGGTACGCACGCGTGATGTGTGGAGTGGTGTGCTAGGTACGACACCGCACCCACCTCCATACAATGAGAGGGATACTAGTCGGTAAGAAACCGCCCCCCCCCCCCCTCCTCAACACCTACCTACAAATTACGCTGCTAAATACGACCCCCCCCCACCCTCCAGAAAAAGTACGAACTCCCTATGTGTTTCACACAACGGTGCTGTACCCTGGTTATAGAACGGCCGTGAAGCTCTCCATCCAAAAATTTATACATAGGGTGATTAAAAAAACGGGCAAGTTAATCTTAAAGCAATAAAGTGCTTCGCTTATATCGGAAAACAATCTGGACCCAAGAAGCCCCAATTTCGGCTTTCAGCAATTCATGTGGTCTTGTTCACTGCGGATGAAGGGGCGTGTCCGACGAGAAGAGTCTGCGCGGCGCCAGGTCCTTCCCTTCCAACTATTCATTCCAGCAAGCGACAAGGCTGTATCATATCGTTCTCTCAGTCCTTTCCCACCTTCGCTTACCCGCTTTAACAACCAAAAGAGATTTTGGCCCCCATACACATACAATCGGATGCCCCTTCATGGCAGCGAAAACATACTTTCAGGACTCATGCTTCTGGTAAGCTGGAGACAGATAGTGAATGTTGGCAGTAAGTCGTCTTACAAGAGGAGACAAATCACTCAAGCACCGTAACTCACGCAGTGTATCTCCTGTACCGAGCTGACCATACTCGTTGTGACCCCATACGTAAACTCCACCACCAGCTGATACAGCTACACAATGCCGACCGCCAGCGGCTACTGAAATCGATATTTCGGGAAGACTTCGAGCTTTCAAATATACTTTCTCCGCCTACCTCTGACAATTGGAATACCCGTTAGTTGATTGACAATTTGAGGTGAGTGTAAAATGGCTCCATCTGACTGCTCACCCCATACGGCTACTACACCATCTAAATGGAAACAACAAA